CAATAATTCCACACAGTCGCCCTCTTGAAAGTTAAAAACATATATCGTGTAAGCACACATGAATAGTACCTTACTCACGAACACCAAAAAACTGGAGCGTAGGAACCTCACCGAGTAGTGGTGGGGGCGTGGGTGAGGGCTAACAAGCAGTGCCAAGGGAAACATCTTGGATTGTTGCAGATAGCTTGAATTGTTGGATAAGCTTGATTTCACTGAATTATTTAGTGCGTTGACTCCAAGATAGTGTTGTGCAGTCCCGCTTGGTTTGTTTTATTTTCGCGATGACACAAATATGAGAGCCTGGCACAGGCAAAGGGAAGCTTTTCAAGTTCAGGTGCAGAGGCTTATAAGTAGTGGTGTAACGATTAATCGAACTCTCGATTTATAGCGATTATGATCGTTCGGTTCGATTCACGATTCTTTGCTTCCACTTTTCGATTTTGATTCGATTTTTGCATACCTTTTCCAGGGTGCCCTCAGTAGGTTATTATATTGTAAAATGAGAAACCAGAACTGTTTGAAATGTGCGTTTTTGATTGACGAGCAAACACGATTGCAGTTCGTGCCCCATTTTGTGTTACCTGGAAAAATGCTATCCTTTGACCACCCCTTGAGTATTTCCAAATAAGGCAAACCATGTGCGAAACGCTCTTTGTCAGGTTCTCAAACATGGCGACGAACGACCAAGCGGCTGTGAATCCTCTTGTCCCTATTACTATTCTCAAATTGAGGGTTTAGGGTTGAATGTGTTTACATTACGCATTATGTTAAAAGAATTACGAAACATTTACATAATCAAATCGAAATAATCGAAATCGAAATCGAATCGCAAGGAATATTGAAAATCCAACTAGTGGTCTATTATCAATGCTGTGTTCTGATTTGTTGAACTACTGCTAGGCTATATGTTATAGCCCACTAGTAGCGAAAAGCGCAGGCTTTTGGCGGCAAAAAAGGATTAAAGTCTAGCTTTAACTAGCTTAAGTTGTTTTGTCTTGATATTTTTGACCAACTAGTTTGATTTTACTAAAACAATTATTCCTCTCGCCCTCATGGCCTCTGAGTCAATAGCCCAATCGGCCTTCGGTCTCAAGGGCTATTGACTCAGAGCCCATTCGGGCTCGAGGAAATCGTTACACCCCTATTCATAAGTCAACTCCCGTGTCACGGTAAGCGACCACCCTTGGTGCAGGACAAAGTGGTTGGCTTACAGGACGTCGTCGACGGGAAAAATCAGGAAAATAAGCTAGCTTAAGCTCAAACTGATCTACTGATTAGCATCATAGAGAGTTAAAGCTTGACGGGTACGGCAAACGGCAAACGTCAGGTTCAAGTTAAGAATTTCTCAAAATAGAAAATGAGCAGATAAAAACAGCTCAAAACAATTCTTATGGATAAAAAATTGCGTGAAAATACTACTTTAGGTTTAGAAATAATGAACAGTAAACGAAAAGTAGAGGAAACTTGGTCACTTGGTACAAATTCGCGTTTGCGGTTTGACGTAAATGCGGATGCTTAACTTCTCTAATTACATAAAATTATTACCTTAAAAGCTAAAAGTTAGGCAAATGGACAACTGGCAATAATCTTTTACATGAAACTGTTGAAACTTTGTGCATAACATTTTGCATAAATATTAACAATCCACTTTTTACCTACAGATCGTAATACAGCCATCTTTTTTGTAAGTCAACTGTCAGCACGTTTGGTCAGCGCTATCAAAAACTGATGAAACTGAACTTTTGTGACATTCGAGGAATGGTTTTCTTACAGTCATTCGTGATCATGCCAGATGGTCGCTTACGGGGAACAGAAAACAAAATATGTCAAATTGCTGGTTGAAAAAGTGGTCGAGGTCGTTAAGAAATTTAATCAGTGGTCGCTTACGAGAGAGTTTTTGAAACAGCATTTGACTGAGAAACAAAACGGTTATGTGTGGTCGCGGTCGCCAATGAGAAGTGCTCACTATGAGAGAGTTGACTGTATTACCTCTTTTCCACCCATATCTGAGTCCCAGGGCTCTTTAGTCAGTGGGTGGTCACATTACTTCCGCGACACAATCTCGTACCCAGAGTCTTCTGGCTTTTTGGTCAGTGTGGCAACGCCAGCAAAGTGTTGTCCCGCTGACCGTTGCCCGCAACTAAAGAGCTCGAACTGATTGCTTTTCCCCAGAAGTTTTTGCGCCGAAAACTTGTTCCTTTGCAATTTTCACAACTGGTAATTGCACAGGTTCAAAGAGGACTTCGGACTCCATCAACAATTGAAATGCTTTTTACAGTTCAAGAAATGAAGATATTCAGTAAACATCGTTAACCGCATATAAGAACCTAGAATTTTCGAGATCAGGCTGAACAGGTTCTTATATTATTTCAGGGTACTTTTTGACAAATCAAGCTGATTAGGCTTTTAATAGGTTCTTAATTTTCAGAGTTTGTCGTAGCATAGTCATTCACAGAAATATTACACTACTAGTCCATATATGGTTTAAAACTAGTTTAAATAACAAACATATGCTTGCCAAGCTAAATAAAAGAATAGTCAGAATGCTTGCTGACTAAACAATACATGCTGAACAAAACATTTTAGGCTATTTACATTGTGCACATAAGAACCTCTTTTCCTCGCCAGGCTTAACAGGTTCTTATAAACTTGAGTACTACTAGTGGTTCCTTTTGGAAGGTGAAGTGTTGCGAGCAGAGAATTTAGTTACCATATTACTTAATTCTTGGAAAAAATATTGGGAGATTTTTGATACTGTCTAAATTTTATTATGCAGTACAGGCCACGGGCATTGCAGCATTTACAAGCGCGTAAATTGCCACTGAATTGCGTGCAATATGGCGGATTTCCACGCAACTCTGAACTTTCCCTTGCTACGAAAGTCATGTTTTGTAAATCAGCGATTCATGTTATGTATTAAAATTTCTGGGCTCTTGGCTGAAGCGGGGTTCATTTTACTTGACACGGCGACGTACTGTTGTTTTGAAATAAATTCAATGTTTCGGACTTCACTACACTCTACTCTGTTTTTTTTTTCGACTATGCGCTTAAAACATGGTCCGAGTTATCGGGGGTAAAATTATAGAGAAATTATCTGAACAGAAACAAAAATTACTTCGAGTTAGCGAGGGTAAATTCACAGTTACTGTATGAAGGAAATCCAGGGGAAATCGAGTTGACTATAAAAGTGCGATGTTCGAGTTAGCGAGGGTTAGAACAATCGGGACTAGAAAAATAGATTTCGCACGCGATCGGCACTAAATTTTCCGGACCATACGCAAAGTTTCCATATATAACATCTGCTTTTATTCTAACATTACATATAACTCAACATTAATTGTATATCTACGCGATGTTTGAATTAGCGACGAGCATTCCTTCATAGTTGTTACTTAAAAATAACAATGCGTTACTTAACTTGGATACAATTTCACTCCGAATTTGCATGTTATTGGTGACGCGCCGTCTGTTCAAAATAAACAATCAATTTGGCTTTGAAAGTAGTACCACTAGTACCTGCCTGCCCCTCCACCCCGTCCAAACACAGAAGGTTTCCAACACGAACTGTGAAGTCGTTCTTGTGGGTTGTGAAATTCGCAAAAGGACGCTCAAGAGAAAGCACGTGCTTGAGCCAACGTTGCAATGGTCCGCCGGAGATTTATTGACCGCTAGCTTAAGGTGGACATAGAGATGGGTTCCTTCCGTCCTTTTCGAGCAAGAAAAAACGTCTGTGGACAGGCTGGTTTGGGTACTAATAGTCTGTGAGTAGTATTGCAGGTCGCCTGCGAGCAAGCTCTCCCGCGGCTCTTTTTTTGCTTGGTTCGAGTCAATCAACAGGAGTGCTTGCTCACGGGCTATATTGCAGGTGAAAAGTAAAATAGGGTTCCTGCGAGCACGTTTCGTCTTGAAAGTCCAGTCTGAAAAAACATCCCAATAAACAGGAAACCCATAAAGCAAAGCGATTTTCATTTTATAAGGGGGGGGGGGG